GGATCTTGTTAGGCTAGTCACTCAGATCAATTTTTCCTTTCCATGCCTCTCGGTAGAGGCTAATTATGTTCTGTGGTCAAAACCATCATAACAGATTAGAGATTATGTTACGTTACAATAATATTAAGATGATGATCGAATACTATCGTTAACAAAGTCATCAACACTATAAAAGCCTTTTTCCAACAAAAAATTTTTCAAATTTAGTTTTGAAACCACTCTTGTACAAATAACTTTTTAGGTCGACTGGTAAACGATTAAATAAATGAACCGACCGATATTGTGAGCCACGGAATATAAAAAACAAGTTTGTATAAAAAACTTGTTTTTTATATTCCGTGTTGTGAGCAGTGCTTGGATATAACTATATGAGGAATAACTTAATTCTTAGTCTTGTTTCTTGTATTTTCCCTAATATTTCTTTCGTCCGTAATCTCGTAATCCCTTACATAGACATGAGGCAGTCATAATCCCAACTTTTTTAAAGTACTAACGACAAGATTTCTGTTGTCGTATACGGACCATTCTTCTAATAGCTCATTTTTGCTGGATCATTCCTCAGAATAATATGCTATAATGAAGCCTAGATTCAACCAACGCATAGTATACCAGCTTTAGATGATTTATGTCTACTTCACATAGCAGCTCCTTAGCACATAGCAAGCTGAGCTAATTTTGCTTTCAATGTCTTTTAGTTCATGCTTCCAATTCAAATGACTGTCAATTTAACTCCCAAAAATTTGGAACTTCTATTAATTGAACCCTTTTACCATTTAGTAACGTATTCAAGCAAATGTTTGTTTTACCAGTGTTAATACCTAGGCCATTAGCAACATTCTGTTATAATGTTTAATTATAATGGCTTGAAGTGGATTTTGATAAGTAAAAGTGGTGCAATTTTGTGTATTAGACGTCTGCCTTAAAGTATTTATGAGCAAGCTATGCTTATAAATACTCTAAAGACATCTGCCCATGTAATTATCATAATTTCTTCTATTAGAAGTAATTATCATAATTTCTTCTATTAGAAGAAATTATGTAATAAGTAATTTAATAATGATATAAATCTCAGTTTTTTTTATCCTCTTAAGGACTTTGAGTTAATATTGTCATGGAACGTACACATGGTCATGCTGTCATAAAAATCTCCCAAAAATTCGCAATGCGATGCATGAGCATATTGTGAAGAGTTTTATACACATCGGCCAAATACGACCTGACCAAAATATGGAATGACCACCAATGATTGATACATCAAAAATAGTGACTTAGGTGTATATTAAATTACGGGGTCCTACTCATTTTATTGAAGCCGGTAAAATAATTTAACTTTGTAATGAAAAACCTCATTTCCTTACTACTTTTTATAGGTTTTGAACGCATCTCACCCGTCCTGTTTTTATCCGTGGTACACGTTTCATCATAACACTAAAGTAACACTACCATTATGCGTTTTCTTTATTTAAACATTAGATTTTATTGTAGATATTTAGTTGTGTAGTGTATTATCAATAATATAATTTTTAGTTGGGGATATGGAAAATATTCCGAAATAAGTTGCAAATGATAGGTTGACAATAAATATAGAATGCACTAATACTTAGAACGGAACGTATTATGAGTGTCGCTATGCAGTCTGTGGTACATATTATGACACGAGAGCTGTCAAAGTATGAGCAAAAGTCAAAGCAACTGTGTCTTAGATATTTAGCAGTGAAAAGATTAGAAAGGTTATTGATTCATTTTTGTGGTTTTAGCAATTGATTTGATTAATTTAGTTAAGTATATATTACTGCATAGTTTTCATATCAATTGTTTTAGCTGAGTTTGTAGTCATGACTGCAGTCATGGCTACATCATAACCTCAAAAGTGACGAAATACATAAGTGTAACGTTCTATGATCCTCGGCTTTTAAATAATAAATTTTCAATTTAGGATTTAGATTGTGCCCAGGGGGAACGGATTAATTCGTACACTAGTCATGTTCGCGATGTTTTATAGCCAGGTCACAGCATGTATGGGCCGTGACTAGGTAATCTATGGCCGTGACTGATGTTATTTCAAACTAGATAAGGCTATATGGTATAAGACCTTTGCCTGTCTCACGCGACCGACTATATTAGTACTTTGTCGCAAACGCAGAACTATATTATTGTTCTGAGTCCTTTGCTCCTTTGCGCTAGTTTCTATCACCACAAGCTAATAAAAAGTGCTAGCGGTTTGTACGCTTATAGCACTATGTACGCTTGTAGCAATTATATGTACATCTTCTAAATGTAATACAATTAATACATACAGACAAATATTCAAAACATAAAAATTGACCATTTTCATTATATTAAATATAAAACATCATGTATATATTCTTTTATATTATTATGAATTTCAATGTGAATAAGAATATTTTAAAAATGATGTTTCGTTAAAAAAATTAAAAAGTGCTCCTTTATTATGTAGGCGTAAAAAGAAGTGTTAGATGGTGATAGTTGCCAACATAGAAATTTTCCTCTAAGCTTAAGTTACTGCTTTGCCTAAATCTTAGGGGAAATAATAATGGCACATTGTTAGGGACTTCTATCTTGTAGACTTAGAAAAATAAATATACTGAAGTTTTACTGTTTGAACGTGGTAGAGCCATGCTGCAGCTATATTAGTAGTATAGTTGTAGTACGAATGGGTCGGCTCGACTGGGGAAGAACCACGCTCTCACAGAAAACCAGCGTAAAATAGCAGCTTAACGCTGCTGTGTTTCGTATGGTGAGTGTAGAGAACCGGAGATCCTTTTTACTGGCAAAGAGGCATTCCATCTTAGTCCTCACGGGTGACAACGCATCTGCATCTTGAGTCTTTATCGATGATAGATGTAGATGTCAGTAACCACTTACCATCAGGTGGACTGTGTGCTCGTTTGTCACCCTATCCAAAAAAAATATTTTTAAATTAAATTAGTATGTAATGTCATAAAATATGAAAAAATAAAATAAAAAGGGATCTCCTATGTTTTTCATACTTCCATTCATTAGGTATTTTATTTAAATGTTTTAGACTTTTACAGGTAAATACAAATTTGAAAATTAATGAAATTTTTTACGACCATTAAAATAATTTAATCTATATTACAATCAAGAGGTGGAAAGTTTGTAATAAAATACTTAATGATCATCTGCAACCTGTATATATTTTTCACCTAAAGGATAGCTTTAGATTACTTATGACTCACATTTAGTATTTTGTAACCATCAGGAAACTTAATAATAATGCCAACTACATGATATTAATTTAAAGTATAATATGTTTGTAGCCGGTAGAAGGAAAAGGGGAGATCTCCCGCCGGGCAAGGTGTTCTGCCCGGCGGCCAACGCTCCGAGTGGTAGTTCGGAGCTATTCTATATATATTGCTTTAATTTCGGAACTTTGTTAGCGCGATTCAGGCTTCGATGTTTTTCGCTTGTGGCGCGATGACAGCGCCGCCACATGTTTGTTTGTTTTAGAAGCATTTGTATCTTTTTTATAATTTGTTTTTATTTTTGTTTATATATATAATATTATATAGATTATATGTATGGATCACACGCGGTAGAAGTGAAACCTTCATATAAGGAGACCAAGATAATGGAATACACTGTATATTGTATTCTTTCTCATTATCTCGGAGGCTCAATCCTGTAGATGTATATATTTGTCTCTTTTAAGTTTCGCTTTTTTGTTGAAGTTTTTACTCCAAAAATGGCTGTTTTTATATCGCCAAACTATATGATATCGATTTTTTACTCTCTTCTAATTGTGCCCATTTAACGGCTGTGTATACGAAAAAGCTATTAGTGATAAGACTGCACATAAGCTTATTGATCTGTTTATCTATCTAAAAATATTGCAAAGTTTGTCTTGATTTCATTATGAGTAAAAATAGTTTATAATATTATACAAATTATCATAAACACTTCTTATTCATTTGTGATGACATGGATTTTGATACATGGGTATTGGGTAATTATGTTTTAAGAAAGGTTTAGGGAATTTTTTCACGCGCTTGCAACCTTGGCATACGTAACGATTGCGAGGTTTTCGTGTTTGACATTTCTTTCAAGTATTCGTCAATTTACGGCATAACACGTTTCGTGTCATTACGACTTAAAAGTAAGTGTTTTTGAATTTTAATTAAAATTTCTATATATATGTGATTTTAAGTGTGTGTTTTATGCATCTAAATAAAATTTATGTGGTAATATGTCGTATTTTCTTGGATTCATGTGGATGCATTTTTGGCGATAACAACTTGAGATCAATTGTCTTGTGATAGCACTAAACACGTGTAAAATTGATGTTATTGAGTTTTGTAATGTATATTTTAATGATTTCATTTTTTGTGTCTCCACTTAAATTCGCTTAGTTTCAAAATATATAAAGTAGGTAACCTCCAAATTCACTTGCGTGTGACGAATGCAAACCTATAATTTTTATTTTCATAAAAATATATTAACATTAATATTATGTATATTCCGTAATTACTTTAGACTGAATTTATATCTCGGTGTGATTTTTTTTGATGATTTATTTTTTAAAGATAGAATTCAAAACTACACCATGTGTTGAAAATTGTCATGCCAGATTTCATGAAGGAATTTATGATAATAGATATTTGAATGTTAACATAGTTCAACTTTTGCTATTTAATCAATGTTTATAGTAGTTTTTTCCATAGCCAAAATAGCCAGATTGTCGTAGATTACTGTGTTACGTTTACAAAAGGTAATTTCAACATCTAGATGTTGAATGATCTGAAAAGATAGTCTCATCCGACTCAGACTTCAATATGAGATGCGCTAGCCGTTTTGCGAAGGTATATTTTTCCATGGCTGGTCCAAAAAAAAGGAAGCCTTCTGTATTTGCGAAAAATAAACTTCGCCCTTTGTTCGTTAAAGCTTCAGATATGTCCTATATTCCTAGGTTTATATTTATGCCGATCACCTAACATATGTCCATGTTAACGTTTTTCAGAATGCGTTACGTGGCCGCGTATCTTTTAGCCGTGCTGGGCGGTAAGGCTTCCCCAGCTGCTGCTGACGTTGAGAAGATCCTCAGCTCTGTGGGTATTGAGGCAGACTCCGAGAAACTGAAGAAGGTCATCTCGGAACTCAATGGCAAGAGTGTAGAAGAGCTGATCGCACAAGGTAAGATACAATTACAACTAAAATTTTATATTTGGTAAAATATCTGGCTGAAAAGGATAAGTATGAGTATAGAAGCATACCTCATAAAAGTTTGTCGCTCGGAGCTGCTAGAGAAATGCCCCCTCTCCCTCATTTGTCACAAGTATCTTAAAATATAAACTCTGTAAGCTGGCGATACTTCTACTGCCTTTAGTGTTAGGGAAAACTTATTTATCCCAATCCTTCCAATAATTATAGGGATGTACCCTAGACTGAAACACTTATGGCGGCCAGTCTTGACAGACTCAATCAATGCAGGGTGGGATTTTCAGGCATGGATGTGAAATCAGGTCTATGTGGTAAGGTTAGAAGGGACTACCTCAGTGCCATATAAATTTGGCCAAGATCTCATGTCGAGATCGAATGTTCACCATGTCAACCAATTTTGAATACTTTTAAATAAAACTAATTTTTACACATTCTTTCATTTTGCATAGATTGGTTCAAAAATTAATAATTTTAATCTGAAGGTAGCTGTGGTTAACTGTAACATTGAAACGTAGAACACCTGCGTGCTCCCTGTGACCATGGGTGTAAAGTACTAGAAACGTGGGGAATATGAAATAAGTTGACATAAGTGATTAAATCAGTAAAACTAGTTTTATTTAAATGTTGTGTAATGTTGGCATAAACATAAGAAATCATTATATTCTTTAAGTTAGGTTTTACTTTCTTTAAAAGGTTTATTATGTCAAGTCTTATTTAAGAAACTAGCTGTGCCCGCGGCGTAGCTCGCGTATATAGATTTTACATAAAGAATTTGTCGTTTAGGTAAGAGAATATTAAACGATTTATATCATTACTGTATCAATAAGTGGTAACAAATAAATTATTATCATCAAAGTTCTAAGTAGTTTATGATAGAGCTTCTGTGTAAACGACGTTAGAAGTAGGCTTAGCCGGGGTGTACACAAAAAGGTTACGGGGGCTACTAACGCGGGAAAAAGCAACATAGAGTTGGCCATGTGCAAAACAGTCAGTACTGAGGTCCACTCTTACAACGCGTAAATTTTGAACTTGCACTTTATTTACGGTCATCGCAAAACACACGCTGACTGTAACTGGGAACTGAACACGCTTAAAACTGAAGGGAAAGTTACTTCTTAATAGAGGGTTTTTTGGCAGTGCTGCCAGATCAAAAAAACTCATTCAGCGCTAGGACAACACAAAAAGCGCTAGATTTCATGAAAACAGCGCTTTAAAAAGCCCTAGATTTTGCGCTAAATTAACTACAAACAAAGTTTGTGTTTTTTATTATAATTTATAATTCAAGAAAATATAATCAAAATAAAGAAAACAACATTAAGTTTTTTTCTGGCAATATTTTTTGATGTATCAATACTTCGCAGGACATCGACTTATAATTATGGCAATTGCTGTCAACAGTAGTTAGTACTACTCTAAGTAACTTTTAACTTAGCTGTGCTCTAAACAACTGACTAAAACTGAATAAAGCAAAATAAATGCGTTGCCAAAACCATGAACGAAAACTTTAATGAAGGGGATTTCCCCGCTTATAGTCGTCGATAAAAAAAATGTAGTTGATCATCCTAAAGGGGAAGCCGGGAGATCCATAGCACAGGGTATCCTAGTTTGGACTCGTCTCCCATGCTCTTTGTTTTGTGGAAAAAATATGTTTGAAAAAGATAAACTGCAATGTACTATTTGTGGGAAAAAATAAAGGTCATTATTATTATTATCGGTAATGTGGACTAACAGTGCTGCTATAAAAGAGTTAATAACCCGCTAGTCGCTACAATTTTGAAATTTGTGCTAAATACACCAAAAAGCGCTGGATTAAGTGCTAGGTGCTAAAATTTCGAAATGCGCGCTATACATTCCAAAAAAGCGCTAAATCTAGTTCCCAAAGCGCTAAAATGGCAGTACTGATTTTGCGTATATTATAAATACAATATCACGACATTTCGTTGCAATTTTGTTATTTTTGTTCGGGTTCCGTTGTATGGCTTCGATAGATACTAATTTCTTCAGTAAGTCTCAATACGATTCATTCATTCACAACACAGCAAATCAGAAAAGTTTGTAATTTGTATAACTCCATCTATTACGTCCTTTGTGTGAGAAAACATCCTTTTTTAAATCTCTTTTTATGTTTTAAGTATAAATATATTAATTATTATGGAACGTTTTTTTTACACACAAATCTTTTTATTACTATTTTTGTGATTTTTATGGCGCCATTGAACAAATTCGAACCTACATTTTAAAATAATAATCATTACTTTCGATAGAATTAACCAATTTTAATAAAACAAAGATTAAATGTAACTTGAAGATACGCTTTATGATTTTCTTAACGATTTCTTTGAAAAAAAAAGATGTTTACTTTAGACGTGATGCATTCATATAAAAACAGACAAACAGACAGACAGGCAATTCTAAAAATTATAAAAATGTACTTATTTAATTATTTTTAGTTCCCCATAATGATTTTAGTCACCAAAATAAATATACAATGTACAGAAAGAGACACAACATGTTATCATCATTTTTATTATATGTATATATTTAATTAATTGAAGAGAGATGGCGCTGCTAACATCAACTTGATGACTCGAAACAAAGCCACCGTTGAGCAAATTCCCTACCCATACTTCAGAATATTTATCATAACTTTTGATGGAATGAACCGATTTTAATGAAATAAAGACTAAATGTAACCCGAAGATACACTTTATAATTTCCTTAACAATTCTTATGATATAAATTAGTACTTTAAACGTGATACGTTAACAAACAAACAGACAGACAGACAGACAGACAGACAGACAGAAAATTCTAAAAATGGTAGAAATGTATTTAATTACTTATTTTTAGTACCCCTCAATCACTTTTATTACAAAAATATAAAATGTACAGACATCTGCTATTTACAGTTTTATTATATGTATAGATTAGAATGGTTCAATAACATACATACATATAATCACGCCTCTTTCCCGTAGGGGTAGGCAGAGACCAGTTCTTTCCACTTGCTACGATCCTTACATACTTGTTTTGCTTCGTCCACTTTCATTATTCCCTTCATACATGCTCTACGGTTTAGGGTACTCTTGACCTGGCCTTTTTTCAAGACGTCCCTGATTTGGTCTAGAAATGTCCGCCTAGGTCTACCCCTTCCAACACTTTCATTCACACTCGCCTTATACACTTTTTTCGTCAATCGTTCTTCATTCATTCTCTCGACATGGCCAAACCATCTCAGCATACCTTTCTCAATTTTTGTCACTACATCTTCTTTCAGACCACAACGTTTCCTTACCTCACTATTTCTTAGCCTGTCACTCAGTTTAACTCCTATCATACTTCTTAATGCTCTCATCTCAACTGCATTTATTCTGCTTTCATGTTTCTTCTGCCATACCCAAGTTTCACTTCCGTACATGAGTGTCGGAACCAACACCCCCTCATGCACAGCCAAACGAGCCTTGTTAGACACCTTCCGACTGCTCATAAAGGAGTGCAAAGCTCCATTCACCATGTTTCCTGCGTTCACTCTTCTTTCGATATCACTCTCACACTTTCCATCTCTTGTAAACTTTGAACCCAGATACACAAACTCTTTCACCTGTTCAATTTGTTCATCTTCAATCACGATATTGCAGTCTGTCACTGCCTCATCTTTTTCAAACACCATCACTTTCGTCTTCCTTACATTCATCTTCATTCCCTTTCTAACAAAAGCTCCACTCATAGCAGTTACCATCTCCTGCAACTCCTCGGCCGAAGACGCAAGTAATACTTGGTCATCAGCATAGAGAAAACATTTGACGAGTAACTCATTCATTCTCAACCCACTTTCATTCTCTTTTAAATCTGTCAAACAATTGTCCATGAACAGATTAAACAGCCACGGTGACGCTACACATCCCTGTCTAACACCTTTTTCGATATTAAACCATTCAGTGTATGCCCCGTTTATCCTTACACAAGCACTAGAATCCCTATAAAGAGATTGCATTGCTCGTATGAGGATACTGCTCACACCGTTCACGGACAGTGCTGACCACAATTCATTCCTCACCACTCTATCATAGGCCTTTTCTAGATCTACGAACGCGCGTTCGTAGGTTCAATAAACCATAAAAAATGTACATTTGTATATACATGATGATATTAATTAATAACACCATCTTTCGTCTGAATGGCAGTGCTGTTAAAACTAATACTGATAATACCTTACAACCCACAGTAGTTGTTCCATCTGTGCATTTGTTTCATTGTAATGTTTTATCTATTGTCAGGTCGTGAGAAGTTGTCATCCATGCCCGTCGGTGGTGCAGCGCCCGTGGCCGCGGTCGCCGCTGCTGCAGCGCCGGCAGCTGAGGAGAAGAAGGGTATGTATTTATCCTAAAGTCAGTGCTTAAGCCTTGTAGTGACGGTATAAGAGAATCTACTACAAGTCGCGGCATGTAAGTCTAGCGGTGAACGAAACGTGGAGAGGATAGCTGTGCATGGTACTGCCTTCCAAACTTTATTTACTCGTGTAAAAAAAAGTAAAGTTCTAACCTAAGAGAGCTGTAGTGTAAGAATGTGCTTGCCACACTGCCCTAGTGTGTTGGCAGACTTCGTCTTTGAATTTTATTTTTTAATATATTTTTAAATAATCTTAATGATGATCGACTAACACCATCTTTCGACTGAGAGAACTGTGATGGTTAATCAATCCAACTCTGAATTGTAATTATTATTATCGTTAGAATATTGCTTAATTGTAGACATTGATACTCAAACTTTTGTTTTTTCTTACAGAAGAGAAAGAGACCAAGAAGGAAGAATCTGAGTCTGACGATGAAGATATGGGCTTCGGTCTCTTCGACTAAACAGTTTTTAACGGTAAGTTGTTATGAAAGTTTATATTTATTCAAAGTTGTATAATTAATATACCATTTGGTGGGGTGTGCTGGAGTGAAAAATTAATGGATATAGTGAAGTCCATAGTCCAGGTTAACTAGGAAGTCAGCTACATCTTTAACTGTATAAAGTATATGCTTGTGGATGCATTTTAAACTGAACAATAGTGCCTTAATTAAAACAAGCCAAACAAGGTTTTAGAGAGAAGTGCCTCTTTCCGATAGGGTGTTCACACATTATTTGTTCTGTGAAAAAAGTACACCTTAGTCAAATAAGTGTTACTTAAACCACTGGATACTGCTTGTTCAACATAAATAAATAATTATTATTAGTTACTGACTGGTGCCGCAGAAGAAACAATTGTGCAAATATTGTTTTAAATTTGGAAGACTTACATTGTTTAGTTAGGAATGATAATACATTCATTGAAGTTGAATGATATATAACTTTTAAATAAATTTGTCCGTACGATATGCCCGCTACCTATGTAACCTTGCATATAACCTTGGTGCAAGTGCAAGCAATAAGTTAACAAAGGTTTACTGCAATCTGATGATTCACTTCATATGATGAAGTTAATCAAAATGTGCAGCACATAAAATATGAACTAACAAACATTAGTTTTTACATTTTAGATTATTACCGTATTTAACTATTGGGTTTTATGTTCCGAGTTAAAAGTACTGTAAAAATGAAGTGTCCGTATAAGTTGACTGGTTTTATTGCATGGGACGAAGGAAGGAAGTGCTAACCTTGTTAGCCAATGGTTCAACTGCTAAATGACTGAAAAATTCATGCTTGATTAATAAACATCCAAACATTAATATCTTCCATCATCATCATCAGACCAAAAAAGTCCACTGCTGGAAATAGGCCTCTCCCATTATGAGGATTTGCCTTAATTGCCACGCTTGGGAGACGGAATGATAATCGTAGTAATAATGTCCTCCAGACCGAATTTCGGTCACGGCGATCAGGCTCAACTGAGATTAGCCAACGGCGCAGTATAGGATTATAGTGCACAAGTTTATACGCAAGCACAGGTGTACTCAATGTTCAACGACATGACCATAGAAGAGATCAGGCGCAGGACCATATTGGCTTTACGTGTTTTCCAAGGCACCAGCGTGAAACACCAAAAAATTCCTGACTCCGAGCTGTTACTTAGAATTTCTCGACAGGAAATTGTATAACAGATTGGACAGAGCCATGATTCGAATCAGGTCAGTCGTGCTTACGTCCACTATAGTCCGGCCGCCGAGTTATTACCGATTTGACACATGACGAATTGACAATACTAGTGAAGTGACTGAACCAGTAACCCTAATATCATTTGGGAACAGTTTGTTTTTAAATATTCTAGTATAGTGTGTAATTAAATAAAATCAAAACAATAATAGTTAAAGACACAGGTTCTTTATTAGGTGGAGTATCCTTGATGGGCGTAGATAATTGGTCGAGGACATATCAAAACAAAACAAATTTGTAAACACTGTTACACATTTTAATGAATAGAGTAGGTACAAGATGTTTTAATAAATGAATACCTATCATTTATTAAAACAATTATTCAGATCAGAACCAGATTCGCCAGAGCTGTCATCGCTATCAGTCACTTGTATGACAATTTCATTCTCTATAATGGTGTCCACTCTTATATCGCGTTCATAATCTTCTGTTATTAGTTTTCGAGTCTTTTCGACGACCTTGACCCAATCTTCTTTCGTTATTTTGCTGCAAGCATCTTTTAATAGACCCATCATTTTATTAGTACTGAATGGCGGAGTCGTATTATTACGAGCTGCGTAACCTGTAATGTAAACATTAAATAATGTTAATTTATTACATTAAATAAACGAAATGTTACACAATTACCTACATGTAAGGGACATGAGATATTTATTTCTTAGTTATGTATCTTTTTACTTATATGCTGAATATTGGATGTTATAATAGTACAAATTATTCATATTCATAACTTATGCGATAAAAAACAATACCTTTGATTTGTGCCCATATTAGCTCAATGGCATTGTACTGGCAGTGATAACGCGGAATTCGAAGTACCCGATGTCCATGTGCTAGAGCTATCTCATCTACTTCATAACGGACTCTTGATGTTTTATTTTCGCGTACCAACTTTACTAAGTCAGACTTTAGCATTTCGGCAGTAGTTTCAATTCCATTTTGGTGTAGCCATGCTACGACATCAGCTTTCTTGTCGGCCTGAGTAGGCGCTTTATTCACTTGTTTCGAGTGATATGAAGCGTTGTCCATTATTATGATAGAAGGCTCTGGCAGGCTGGGTAATAATTGATTTTCGAACCAATTCGTAAAAGTGTCTGTATCCATCTCCTCGTGGTAATCGGAAGTACTTTTTGACGCGAAAGCCAGCAGTCCATTTTCAAAGAAACCACTTCCAGCAGAACCGGCGTGACAAATTATCAGTCGCGATCCTTTTCCAATTGGAACCTTTTAGGTTGATGCTTTTGTTTTGTCAGTCCAAGAGCGTGACACAGTGTGGTTCGCATTTAACCATGTTTCGTCAACAAAAACGACGTTGTCCCAAGACTCGATTTTTCTGGCTTCTCTTAAAAACTCGCTCTCCTTTTAATTATTAAATCAAATCTTTCCATTAATATTTTCCTTTTATTCGTTTTTTTTATATTCAAACCCAATTTCGTGCAATAGTTTTGACAACACCGTTTTACCGCCTTTAAACAAGCCAGCTTCTTTTAAAGAGACCAAAAGCAAACGTCTAGTTGGAAACTCGTTCCTAGTAGTATAATAACCATATATGTGGTTTCTTATTGCATCTGCATCAAAAACATCAACACCTGTCACGGGCTTTTGTCTTCGTTTTTTCTTAGGAGTGCGTAAAACATTATCTTGACTTCCAGAAGCACCAAATTTTTCTTTATTTATATTATATAGTGTTTTTGCACCAATTCCAAGAGCTTGTGAAATCCGATCTTTCACTTGAGTGACAGGAATCAAAGGGCCGCCATTTTGTGACTCACGCTCAAAGTAATCTTGTACCTTTAGTACAAGCTCACGACATTGACTATTCAATGTTTTTCCTCGTTTCGGCATTTTCAACAAAATTACCAAACACAAACAAAATTAGTCCAATAAAGCGCAACGATAAACAGGAGAAAGCCGAGTCAAAAAACAACGGTTACACAAGAGAACGTAGTCTGTGCGCACGAGAGTACGGAAGACGACTAAACAGATTAAAATAGCGGTGGTAAGGGTGTTGCCAGAATAGTATCGCCAATTACTTAAAAAAATACACCTATAACATTGCTTAATTGAGGGAAAAAATTATATTTATTAAATGTTGTTTTATATATTATGAATGTTAAAAATTATACATAATCATTTTAATTGTATTTATTTTTAAATCATAGAAAACAGTATTTCTGTCTTTGGATAAATCTTAGATACTGGCAACACAGTGCAATTAGGAGACGCAAAAAAATGGTAGCATTATAGTCTAGTTGCTCGAAGGAATAAGTAAAATAAAAATATCCAAATAAAATAAATATCATATCTATTCCAATGAATTCGGACCGAATACTATCAAGCACATCACTATGAAAACTAGACGCACGATGTAACTTTGTACAAGCGCGCCAAAGAACAAAAAATAAATGTTTTCATATTATTTACAAACTATTTTAAGTTTTGAAACAGAGTTTATTGGAAAATTACTTGATTCTGACATTTTGACATAAAGTTTTATATTAAAGAGGTATTCTAAATCATTCGGCAAATGTGTCGCTCGTGCAAGGTTATATCAATTAATTTAAGAATAATCTGTCAAATCGGTAATAACTCAGCGGCCGTACTTTAGAACAATGAGTCAGTCAATATCTTTTTTTTTTAATAGAATATGGGTGACAAAGGAGCACACAGCCCACCTGTTGGTAAGTGGATGCTGTGGCCCATAAACATCTACATTTATCCTCGAATGAGGCATTCCATGTTAGTAAACTGAGGACTACTAACATGGAATGCCTCATTTCCAGTTGAGTCTCCAGTTCTCTACACTCACCATATGAAACACAGCAACATTAAGCTGCTATTTTACGCTGGTATTCTGTGAGAGCACAGTCCTTCCCCGGTCGAGCTGACCCATTCGTACTACAACCATAATGTATTTTACCTTATTTATATTATATTATTTTTGTTAGTATAGATATATATGAATTTAATTTATGTACATACATTAACTAAAATTTTCTTTTGTCCACAGTTTGTGCGGCGTACGCGGTTTTTATTCCAATTTTGGTATAAGAGTAACTTGACAGTGAATATGTTTCTGTGAAATATATTTGCGAATAAACTGATGTTGTTTTATTTATTATATCCTTTTAATAAAGATTTTAAGGCTTTCCATTTTACAAGAGTATATCATGACATGATAATTATCCCGACTGGCTCAGTAGGGTAATGTTTTTTCGAGTTTTGTGAGCGCCGAAGCCGCATTCCTGTCATGCACCTAATTGTTTGCGCTAAGTTTTATATCTATTTTTTTATCACACTAGCTTAAACGGCTTGACAGATTAATGGGACGTCGTTAGATTCGTTTTGAGCTGTGTGTATAATATTTTTTTCTGTTTTTAGTAACCTTTTTACGCAATAAGATCGTGTTAAATTACTATTTTAACCATTAGGCTTGTAACGATAAAACATGTCAAGAACCGGACTTTATAAAATATCAACGTCACAACCCTTCACAAGTCCACTGCTGAACAGAGGCCTCTCCAAAGAAAATTCTGCCTACATTAAAAATATCCTTATAGGATGTTATTATCCATAAAGCATTCTTACGCTGCGTATCCACTGGAAATGTGCCAGGGGGATGTTATTATTAATGCTGTGCAAGGTCTATTGACTGTTAGTCAAGTAGCTCACGTAGACACCTCGCACATACGAAAGCAAAAGATGTCACTTCTACGTACGT